GGCCAGTATGGCGCCTGAATGAAAAATTTCTCTCCCCAGTTTCAATAAAATGCAACCTAGGCTGGTTCTTGTGAATAGCTGTAAAAGGAAAGTTACTGTAGCAGAGCTCTGTAATCAAGAGGTCTCCATGGACAGCCTGTCATCCTGATGAGAGACACTTCTTAATTAAGAGAAGATGCTGCATTGTAGATGAAACAATTCCCAACTTCCCTCATCATATCAATGAGCCTGGAGTTACAGAGCTCCCAAAAACAAGGGGATTTAGAGGATTTCAAGAGTTATAATTCTATATAAAAGTTCAACACTCAAGCATGTGCAGCATGCAGAGAACATATTTTAAAATGTGTTTGAAGAGCAGAAGCCTAATTTTGTATACTTCAAAGACCTTTGAAAGGCAGAGTGTGGATAGCATCCCAAGTATTACTGGGAACATCTGAGATCCACACACTTCTGTGAAAAGCTCAACCTTACTTGCAAGAAAATCAATGTAAAAGCTGCCCTTGCAGCTAAGCTTAACTGATTTCCTGTTTGAGCATCTAAATTACACTTGATTTCATGATTAAACTAGTTCAGATTAATGGGAAAACAAAAAGAATAATGTTCTAAATACCGGATAAACTGTTTAGGTGAGCGAGGGAGAACACTGGTGTTTGTGAAGCAGCCAGCGGGGAAGAGTCTGGAAAAAGAAAACAGCTGCCTGCAGGTTAACACTAAATTCAAGCAAAGGGAAGGGTAACACACTGGTGTACTTCAGCACATCAAGTGGCAACACAAAAATGCTGCATGAGCATCGATCATCTTACTCAGCTGATTGGGACTCTTATGTTGTTTCACCCATGTGTAGTACAGCCCCAGGGAGTGAACCTGGGTGCTGTCCCTGCCCATCTGCTCTGCATAAGGTATTAGCGTACTATAGTATATATATTCTCTATATATAGTATATTCTGGAGTAAAATTGTTTGCCACAGCCCACATTCAATCACTCTCACTGCCAGATGAACAAGGCTGTCCATGGGGGCACTTGCAGCAAGAGCTACAAGTCTAGAAGACCAGGGCATGAGATGTACCAAAACCAACATATTGTCCAGGCCACAACTAGTTAGGTGGCAACCTGGCATTTTTAGAACATGACAACCAGCTCTCTGAGAAGTCATGCAGTCAGGCCAAATCCTCACAGCAGTTTTGTTTGCCATCTCTAGAAAGAGGCTGATCCCAAAATGGCCTGTTCTTCTTGTACCTCAATGAATGACTAGGAGAGAATAAGAAAATGTCCTCTGATATTCATAGTTCTCCCACTCTGCCTGGCTCCCAGCTAAGGGAACCTGAATTAACCATGTAATGAAGCTGAACTGCGTGCTATGGGCTCTGAACCAGAGGATTTGTAATGACGGAACAGAGAGAGCACAAAGTGCCCTGGCTTGTCATGGCAGGAGTGGAGAGTGAGGGCACAGCATCAGTGCCCATGTGAGGACTTACTGGGTGCAGGTAATGCCCATCAGCAGGCTCTCCATGAGCCTAGTTTGAAAAACTAACAGAAACAGTATTAGAGCAGAAGAGTTCACCTGGGTTAATACCGCTTGGCTTCTGTGCTCCTGGCACCTTTTACTCTGTAAATGTCACGTCCCTGGCCTTGCTTTGTCCATTCCGCAAATGTACACAATTGGCTGCAACTCCAACTCTGAGGCAAAATACATCTTTTCGGCCACTTTATGGGGGCAGAATTACTATTCAGAATAAATAAATGCTTTGGTAACAGCACGTGCAGCAAGGACACCACCAAAATGAATAGTAGTTTCCATCCTCTGGTGGCAATGGACTCTCTGATGGGGCTGGGAATGCAGAAACAACAAAGGCTATGTGTCAGGCCTTTTCAGGTCTAGCCCTTCTTAGAAACTTTAAAAAAAAAGATTAAGAAAAGCAGCAAACCTCTTAAATTATGTCTTTTTTGGGAACAAACAGCAATACTGGCCACATTATTTCTTTCCTTTTTTTCGGCCTGTCTTTTCTCTGACTCCAAGCCTCTCAGTGGTACATACCCTGCTCCTCATGAACCTGTGGTCTAGATTGGACTAATCGAGTTTGGAATGAATTCTGAGAAGTCTGTCATTTAAAAATCATGGATCATCTCATGGATCTTAAGAGTACAGCCATGTGAACACTTACTTAGCACAACTGTATTAATTCAGGCTCTCAGGGAGAAGGTGGGAGTAGAGACCAAATGACTTAAACCAGATCTGGTGCCGGTGGAGCAAGAAGTTGTGCACTTTGTGGCAGCAGTTGGTGGCTAAGGGAGGCATAGATGTATCCACATTACTCAGACAGTAATTCCACTCATATTCTGGTCACAGCTTGCTTGTTTCCTAGGGATCCTGTGCTCTTCATGCTGGACATTCTCTCTTCCCTAAGTGATCTCCCCCATTTGGGAGCTCACCCCTGTGTGAAAGCTCATTGTTTGCACCAGACCCGTATGTGGTGCTGAAAATAAAAATTCTGTAGCACAACAGATTTGATGGCTTCGTTTTCTTGCCTGAAGCACACTGTGATTTCTTCCCGTTTGTCTTCGTGGGTGGAACAGGCATTTCAGTATATACTGCCACACTCATTACAGGGAGTTCTTCCACGCTAGAGATATTAACATCTTTGTTATTACTGCCAGTTCCCTCCTCCTCCCCCATACCAAGCGGTCGCCTGAGCTAGAATTCCTATTAAGGACAGACTTCCAGTAGTAGTATTCTCCTCCTCAAAGTGAAGAAGACCTCTTCAGAGGTCAGATCCTTCTGCTTTCTCAGAATCCTGCATCCCTCATGTTCCTTAGAAAGTAATTATTAAAACTGTCAAAACCACTCACAAAAACATCACAGAAATTCTCAGAATCGGCTAAGAAATCGTAATTACCTCTTTGTAATCATTAACAATGCAAAACCATGGTATTTGAATTCAAAAGTTTTATGCAAGAAAAAATGTTTAACATTTAATATAAAATCAGTTTGACACAGCTTATTTTTCAAGTGCCATCATTTTTCTGTTCATCATTTTCCTATTCATTTTCGGTTCATCAGACGATTAAAAGACTGCAATTGAAAAAGTCATCCTAAATACTTTTTAAAGCCTTACAAAAACATTCATAAAGTACCACCCACAAAAGCACCTAAACAGGACTCTGAGAGAAACATCTATTAGGATGTTAGTTTAGTTAACTGCTGCTGAGGACTAAGCTGTCAGACAGCGGCATGATTTGTGGAATTGTCAATTTTACAATGATACAACCCAGAAAACACACTGTTCCATAGGCATGGTCCCAGAACAGCATCAGCTGGGCCCACAATATGCACACAGACGCTCCCAGCACAGCATTGTGGGGGGTTTCAAATAAATAGATGCAAACACCATCTAAAGCCAAGACTGCTGGCATGTGGGAGACGTGGATTCTATGGGAAGCAATCATCCCAGGCTGCGACCTTACCATGAGAGAAAACACAGGCAGCTTGTACAGGAAACAGGTACAATTTTTAGCTGGTTTTTATTTGGATAAAAATCACTCCTCTCTAGAAATAACAAAAAAAGACACTGATCCTTGGAACATCTTTAGGTTCTCTCTGTCCTTGAATGTACCATACTGTGTAAGTACCACTCTGTTCTTCATCCCTAAAAGAGAGGCTCACAACAAACACTGCACCACAGTGAACGTGCTCTAGTTCATTTCATTTATTCAGCAGTGGCCTGCATCCCTGCTTGAGTGTTGGGGCAGTGCTCACTAACAGATTTTGATAAATCCAACAACAACAACAAAAAAGTAATATCGGTGCTGTGATGCCCGACGCGGGAAAAATGATGCACAGAACTCCATGATATCAGAAGGCTAATCAATTACTTTATTATACTATATTATACTATAACTATATTATACTATATTACACTATATTACACTAACAAGAACTATCACTAACTAACTAACTAGAAAAACCTGCAACTGTCTCTGCTAAGAGTACCACCACAGCTGTGACCTAATTGGTCAATCAATCACCATCACCAGTGTCCAATTAAGAAATCACCTTGGGTAAACAATCTCTCTAACACATTCCACATGTGCACAACAATGAGCAGCAGCAAGTGAGATAAGAATTGTTTTGATCATTCTTTTCTCTGCTTCTCTCATAGCTTCTTTCAGGAAAAATCCTGAGAAAGCTAAGTCTCTCTCTGTTCAGAGGACATGTGAATACCACAAAGTAAAAAAAAAAACTAAAAAGGAAAAAAAAAGAGACAGGCTCTGAGGGCTTCCTCCACTAAAATTCATGCCCTTTACCCAGGGAGCAGCTTTATGTCGTCCCAACACCAGCCAGCTTCCTATGATCCATGGAGCCTTCTCTTCTGTACCAGCTACTCTGTGTGGTGCTTCTGGTGCTGCACCAGCTGGGGCTGGAAGCGAAAGCTCTCCCTGCGCTGGCAGCAGTGGTGGGGCTGCCACTGAAGCCGCGGCCACACTGCCTATTTGTACGGCTTCTCTTGGCTGTGGGTGTGTGTCGGAGTCCAGGACATCTCTCTGGCTGCCCTGGCTGTCCTGAAACCCTGGCAGGGGGCTTGGAGACCCTGGCATGAAGTCAAAAATACCTGCAGCTTCAATTTTAACCCGTGGAAAAAACTGACAACTTTGTATGAGGAATTAGAAGCCACAAGGGTTTGAGTAATGTGACAGTTGAGTTAACACAGGGTGAAAAAGTAGAATTTTGGGGTTTTTAGAATGGGGTTGAGGGGGTAGCAGATGGAGGGATTTGGGTGTGTTCTGGCCTTCTTCTCCTTCTTCTTGTCCTCCATGTCTTGGTGTGATGGTGACACTTTTCTATTGGTTTAAGGTAGAAGCACACTGTCCAACATAGTGATAGATATTGGCACATTATTGTAAACATAGTACACGTGGTTTTGAGTATAAAATGTAAATGCTGCCTGAGACTTGGGACAGAATGCCATGGCCGACTTACTAGACAGAACTCAGCAGGTCAGAGAAAGAACGTTATAGATAAGGAAAAAGAAACAACCTTGAGAAGCTGATCCTACGCATTCTGACTCCCTCTTTGGCTGCATGGGCTGGGAAATGAGGACTTTTACAATCTTGGGGTCATCCCAACACCCAGACCCCAAGAGGTGTGTGTGTGGTGGATGAGGTGGGAGCTCTGGCTGAAGGCCTTGCTGCAGGCCCTGCACAGGAAGGAGCGCTCCCCGGTGTGCGTGCGCTGGCGCTGGACCAGCGGATGCGCCGGCTGAAGCCCTTGCCGCACTCGGAGCAGATGGTTGGATGCTCCACGTGAGGGACTCGCCGTGAAGCTGCTGCCCTTCTCGCCCACCTTTTCACCGGGTTGATGTCAGAGCAGGGCAGCTAAACCTCCTTTCCCTCCTCACAGCCACCTTGCCGGGCCTCTGAGCAACCATGCTGACTCCCATGGCAATCCCCAAACTGCTCCTCTCCTCCTCTGGAGCCCGCTGCCAACATGTCCTGCAGATACGTGCTTTCAAGGTGATCTGGAAGGGGCCCCACCTCACCACCTGGAACAAAAAGTATGGCTGTCATTCCCACTGGGAATTGGCACAGCAAACAGGCAAGCTGTTACCTTAGGGAGCCTTGTTTGCACCATGTAGGAGAAGCAGTAAAGGGAAGACTGGGAGCAAATGGAAACCCAGCTGGAGGGGCTCTACAGCCTCATCACACGACCCTGAGCAGACGTGCCATGAACAGCAGAGCCAAGGGCAATACTACAGGTGTCTCCTTATCCCCAAAAAACCTTCACACATTCCTAATATTCCCTTTTCCTACACACCCTTACCTGCAAGCTGACAAAGGCAAGCAGGCTGCCTTCCCTGAGGGGAAAGAGCAAGTCTCAATGTGACCTGCATAAAATAGAGTAGCTCAAATAGCAATGAGGCAGCCCAAAGAGCATTTCACTTGCTCTGTGTTTATAAACTTACATCACTTGGTCCTCACCCATGTGTGTCTCCTCCAAGGCTCTTCTTGCTCTTCTCCCTGGTCCATCTGTGCAGTTACATCAGGTTCAGCAACGAGGAGCCCTTCCTGCAGGAGCAAACAAAAGCAATCTTAGTTGAATATTCAGAAAGAAGTCTTAAAATCTACTGCCCCTGCTGAATATTGGGAACAAACAGAGTGGTTACTTAAAGAAATTGAGTCAACCGAGCAACAAACATTTATGGACAACTTGTGCCATATTGAAGCATCTGGTGTCAGATATTTTTCTTGAAGGAGACTCAAGGTTGCCCCTCTTCTGATAAGTGATACATGTCAAAACATGGCACCAGACGTGCTGGGCTTAGAGTTGGATGACAGTAATCATAGATACAGGTGTCAGAAAAGAGCAAAACCCAGCCACATTTAGGCTTATTTCTTCAATAATGACAGCCAAAACTCTAATTACTCCCCTAAAAGTATTTTAAATAGAAGATTACTTCTTAGACACCAGAACCTGATTTTTGTATTTGCTATCTCTTCGCTCTCCTCCAAGACTCTCAGGCTGAGGCAGAAAAACCCAACAAAAAACCAATTTGATGTCTTGTCTACTCTAGCTGGATTCTGTCACTTCCCAGCCTGGCATCCCTGCTGAGCTCCAACAACCACCATGAATGCAACTGTTGGGCAGGCTGCCCTTACAAATGCCATCAACACCCAAGACAAGAATTTTTCTGTCAGTATTTACTGTTTTGAGGCCAAAACCAGCCAAACAGTAAGCAACAGCAGTTAGCATCAAGAGGGCTGGCATTAGCAGTTGCTGCAGAATAAAAGCAGCAGAAGAAGGAAAATATAATGGTAAGAAAGATCCCATTTTATTTTAAAAGATAAGAATCAAAGATAGCAGGGAAGGGATACTGGGGGGATAAATCTAGGAGCAGGGAGTGACACGTACCACAGCTAAAGCTGAGATCACTAATGGGAATATTTTTAAAGCTTTAAAGACATTACTTCCCCCCACTCTGCTTTTAATCTTTAGAGTTATTTTTTTTCTTCAATTCAAAGATGCTGCACAACCACTCAAGCTCCACATGGAGCTGGCTTACTGGACAGGTGGGCAAAACATTGCAAACTCATGGATGCCCAGACCACTTCATCCACCACTAGCTATTTAATGGTGGGAATAAGGGATTGGACAGTGTCAGAATCAAGGAGACAGCTCAGGTGAACAGAACAGCTTTGCATCTCGGATGCCAGGGATTACAAACCCACCAGTCTTGAAATCTTTTACTCTTTGTGGCAAAGCAGGAAATCTTTTATTCTCCATGGCAAAGAAGGAAAGTGAGCAAGCAAAAGAGAAAGGATGCAATCGTGAGCTGCAGAATCATGAAGGAAAACATAAACAGATGAGCAAAATGAAAGCTTTAGCAAAAATAATAATAAAAAAACCACCTCAATCTGAGTCCATACTTCAAGGATTTGCTGAATGCTGAAGTGGACCACCTGTGCAGACAGATTGTTTCCAGCAGTTCCAAGCTGATATATAAAGAGAGGTTGCTTTCTGTAGCCCTGCAGCTCTCAGGATTTTGCCACTCCAAGCTATTTATGTGCTGCAAGGTGCACCAGATGGGCAGCCCCCGCTCCAGAGCTGCAGTCAGAAACGTGTCCACACACAGATATTTCCCCCATGGCAACTCACCACAAACAGAAGGGATTTGCTCTGAGAACTGTCAACAAACAGGAACTTTGGAGGAGCAAATCCATCAGCATTTCAGAGGTGGTACCAGCACCTGACAAATGCCCAACAACCACTGCCCTGGGGAGCATCTCAGCAGGCAGACAGGGTAGAAGGAAGAGTTCCCTTCTGATTCTACAAAAATTCCTAGTTCAGGTTGCCACAGACACACTGCTGCTATGCTCAGATTTGCTATGGCAGGAAGCCTGTATGACAGGGCAGTCAGGAGTCAGAAAGAACTTCCTCCTTTCCCAGGATCCCAGTCATGTCTCCATGAAAGGAGGGCACAAACTGCATCAACAGAAGGGACACTCCTGCAGGGATTTCATCTGTTACTAGCAGAAGCAGAGCCTTGAGTGCATTGAGTTATTGCTTGAACATGAAAACCAAAACAGGAAGATCATCTGTGTATGTGAAGTTCCTGTCCACAGCTTTACTAAGACAAGGTATGAAGGGTACCCAATCTGGACCTCCATCGAGGGCTTTGAAAACACATCACATTTTCCCCAGGGCTTTGGCTTTATTGTTGTCATAGCCCAGTTTTGCATCTGGGTCCTACAATGGATGCTCTTTACCTTGGCTACTCAATTTCTCTTCCAACCGCTCAGCCCTGGATTCCTGCCATGGCTGGAGCGAGGGGTGGCCTCCTGATGTGCCACCAGCAGCCAAATGCTCTCCCCATGGTCGTGCCGGGCACGTTCAAATGTTCCTATCCCCAGCTACTTTTTGGGATGGATTATGCTTGTAGTAAAATCAAAAAGTGATTTTTTTTTTTTTTTAAATTACAGAAGGCTGTTAATTATGCAGCTGCACCCATCGGTGAGGTGGGAACCCCCTTCCCTGCGCTGTCAGACTCGATTTTACACTTGATCATACACAAGGGCTGGGGGGACAGGAGGCAGAACGTCAAGGCCATGACAAGGGGAGGGGGGACAAGGTGCAGAGCTGGTGCCATCAGAAGCACTGCCTGGGAGCTGAGGAAGGGCAAGGGAACGGGGGAACTGCGCTCTTGGCAGGGGATGCAAGCAGGCAGGGATGGCAGGGCAGAAGGGACCAGCTGCTCCTCCCGTAACTTCTACCTGCAGGGCTGTTCCCGGATCCTGCTCCGCGGGCAAACGGCGCTTCCTGGGCGGGCTGGGAACTGGGGAGTCCTGGAGGGCTTCTCCTCTGCACCGGAACACCACCACCCATCCCCGGGATACCCTCCCACATCCCCGGGATAAGCCCCCGCAGCCCCGGGTATCCCCCCCATTGCCGGGATAACCCCGCCCCGCAGCCCCACTGCCCGCATTCAGCGTGAGAAACAATGTTGATGGCACACTGGTGCTTTGGTTTCTGCTAAGTCGTCTTTATCCTAAGTCAAGGACTTTTAATTTTTTTTTTTTTAAATTATTTGGTATGTGTGTAGTGCTCTGCCAGTGGGGGGCTGGACGAAAGGAAACTGGGTGGGGGCATAGCCGGGATGGGTGACTGGAACTGGCTGAAGGGATATTCCACACCATCGAACTCATGCCCAGTGTATAAACTTGGTTACTTGGAAGTGGGACCAATCTGATTTCAGGAAGGGGGTGGTGAACAATTACGTTGTGCTCACTCTTTAAATTTTTTTCCCCCTTTCCCTTTGGATTATGATTATTATTTACCATTATTATTGCATTTTACTGTGTTTTCAATCATGAAAGTATTCTTATTTCAACCTAAAAGTTTTACTTTTGATTCTCCTCCCCATTCTCCCAGGCTGAGGAGGAGTGAGGGGGATTGAGCGAGAGGTTGTGTGTTTCATTTCCAACTGGGCTTAAACCACGGAACAAGCAGGAGCTGTGACATCTTACTGCCAGGCTTAACTTCAGGGCAGAAAGGAAAGCAGCTGATCTGTGGGGTGTAGTACTTAATCAGGGGTAGAAAACAGGACACACAGGAAGAAGTTCCTTGTGAGGACACCATGCTGTGCAAGGTGGGAGAAGATACAGGAAGAAATTGTTCTGGAATTATTAGCTTTATATTTGCCACTGTTTCCCTAGTGGAAAGAAATGTACACACGTTTTTACATTGTGGTGCCTGCTCTTCTTAATTTCTCCAGGTAACACATACCTGGAGGGAAGAAAGAAGTTGACTCTGCGTATTTCCATGAATTGTGGTGGAAAATATGAGAGCTTGGGTGTGTTTGCTTGAGTTGTTCCCACGCTGATGCGGGAGAAGTTCTCCCTGCACGGGAGGTGATGTGGGAAGGGGGACCGTGAGCAGGTTTGCAGACAGAGGAAGCCACCCTGTGGCCACAGGCATGAGACAGCAGACGGGTTTCCCGAAGCTGTAAAAAACCAAGCTGCTTTTCACCTTGACCCCGGTGTCCCATCTGATGAGCACACTGCATTTATGGGTGATGGTTTTGCTCCCAGGTTATAATAGACAAAATTACCTAACCTTTCTAGGAGCTAAAACATGCAAGTACATAGTTTGTGCTTAGTAGGGGTGCAAAACAGGCTGGCTATGAGTTGAGGACCTCCAGGATGACAAAAAGAAGAGTGTTTTTTAAGGAATCTGAAAATCTTTCCTGGTAACAAAGAGAAAAATACCCAAAAGCCTCCAGATTCCCTTTTCACTTCAAGCTACTGTTAGCAGGGCACAAACGATGTGAATTAGTCAGCAGCCTTAGTCACTGTGTACCCTGAAGTGTACGGGAACTGCAGTAAGAGACAAATGGACAGGGTTCAGTGCTGTCCTGCTGAGGCTTTGTTTGTTAAAGTTAAAATACCAATTTGCATGAAAGACCTTTTCTGTTGGAGAAGTGATGACTGATACAGGCTCATTAGATTCCATGGCTGTGTACAGATGGATAAACAGTCATCAACAAAATAAGATGGGAATACAGAAATAGAATGAAAGGGAAAACATAACTCCATCAATTTACAAAACAGTACAACTGACAGGCACATTGCTGTGTCCTCTTCGTGCTTGTGTGGAGGGTTGGAGATCACTGTGTTCACAGGCAAAGTATTAATGTATGCAAAAGGGACAAAAGGGGAAGCTGGCTGGTTGCTGGATCTCCATCACTGGAGGTTTTTGGACTGTGGCCTTGCCTAACCTGATCTGGTGCTGGTGATAGTCCTGCTTTGAGCAAGAGGTTGGATTCAAAAGGTTTCTTCCAATCAGCATTCTGTGTATTATTTCAGCAGTTTCTGAACTATTACAGATATTTTGAAATGTGAGAACACTTTTTATACCATACTGTCTCCGTCCTGCAGACAGTTCAGTAATTAAAAGTTGGTAATTTGGGAGAAATCTTCAGAAAAAGATTTGTCTGTCTTGAAAATGTGTAAACAATGAAGTGTATAAAATGGGTAATGTGACTACTTCAAGGAAAAGGGAAAGAAACAAAGTAACTCTAGATTGATATAAATGACAAGCCAGCATTTACTACATCACTACTAAAATAAAACTGCTTGAATCTAGACAGAAAGTATAAAAAAACATCTTGCATTTCAAAATATCTGTAATAGTTCAGAAACAACACCATATCAAACCTTGGCTCCATTTTTTTACAACATCAGAGCAATTTCAGTCTTTGATTACTTTGAACTTCAGCTGGCTAGTGATTTAACAATCACCTTTCTTTTATTTTTGGTTTTGTTTTGACAAGGCCAATATATCAGTTTTAAAAGTCTCTATGTTTTTATTGTTAAAAGTATTTTGTCTCTAAAAAGTCCACAATGCTTAAATAATTGAAATGACCAAACTCCAATGTTGGAGAAAAGCAATGAAAAAACTCTGGTGGGAATGACAGAGTTAGGAGAAGTACTGAACTGTTTTTCCATTTTGCAGAAAGCTCTAGCTAGTCTTAGCCTTTGCATTTCTCTTGGTATTGTAGTGCTGAAAGGAACACCATACCTACCCCGCAGCTTTTAGAGAAATTCATTTACACTGAGCAAAATTGCCATCTAAATAGAAAGAAGTAAGTTTAATAAAGCCATTTGAAGAATTGTGGCTGCCCACTGAAGATTGTTTCTTAAACTTAGGTATTGATCAACCATTTTCACCTGCACTGAAAAAACTTTTGGCATGGAGTGATACATAAATCACTTATATGCAGAGAGCACCAACACTCTGAAGAGCTGCTAAAAGAGAAATAAACAAGGAGAACAGTTCACTGTCTTACTCTTCTTCAAGCCCGTTTGACAGGAAACTCTATTCCAAGCATTTCAGCTCCATCAATACATGCAGTTTTTCATAGCCTGGAGAAGACTGCTTGTTAACACTGCAGAAAGTTAAGTGCTTTCCAAGCAGATAATGGCAGCCCTTGGTTTGGATGTGAAGTATTAAATCTTCCCCCTCTCCCAGTGGTTTATGATGTTGGAGCTACAGACTCACAGGTTGGAAGGCAGCCCTGGAGACCACCTAGTCCAACTCCCTGTTGAAGCAGGGTCAGCCAGAGCAGGCTGCTGAAGGCCATGTCCAGTCAGGTGCTGAGGATCTCCACATCTCCATGGCATTTAAGGGGAAAAAAATGGCAGAAAGCAAACTGACACCAGACTGATTGAAAAACTGGAAAGCAAACAGTTGATGTATCAATGCTAAAATGCAATACCTTAACCTAGGCATGTGCTTGTGGAAGTGAACAAGCAAACCACCAGAAGCTTGGCAGCATCACTACTTCACGTTCCATTTTTTGTCATTCAGAGCACCTTCCCTGTTTTTCAAGGAATACGTTCTTCACACTGAAATAGGTGCCACTACTGTGAGAGGATTCCATCTTAAGGTGTTCATATGTTTGATTAAGAACTGCTGCTTTGAGCTTCTTACATTGAGGTGAATTTACTAGCAGCCTAAAAAATGGGTGCAGAAAGAAGAGCTTTCTGTCACGGCACTCAAGGACATCTGTGACAGGCTGGGACTGAGATGCCCATTAAAGTGACTACAGACACATGGTG